TAGGATGCTCAGCTTCAATTTGGACCTGTTTTGAAGAGAATTGGTTGTGGTGACGAAATAATGACTGTTTGAAGTTGTATCTCAAATTGCGTTGTAAAAATTTGGTATTACACAGGACCGTATGTTGCACGCAACCGTATAGGACGTTATTTATATTTTTATAATAACAGTATTTAGCTCAAAACATAAAAAAAGATAAAAAAGTCCTAATTTAAGAAAATAATCACAAGAATAATTAAATTAGTACTAAAGATATAAGTTTATAAATGATATACTTATTATAATGCAAAATAAAAATTTAGAAAAAGTTAATTAGAGATTAATAGCTACAGTAGTTAGCAAGTTATAAAAGAAGCAAATTTTTAGACTTTTTCTAATTCTTTTTCCTATTATTAATAAAAAGCTAATTAATAGCGTTATAAAGCTATAAGTAGTATTATCTGATAGCTCTCAAAATTCTGTACAAGAATAAACAGAAGAAAACATAATAATATTAGTATTTAATCTAAAAAGTAAGATAATAAAATGATATAAGTATTAAATAAATCTTTTTAATTATTATAATTAATTCTACCTTATATTAAATCAATTCCAAAAATAATTTTAGAGAATATTTCTTGATTTTCCCTTCTAGAATTTTATTTATGCGCCTGACTCCAGCAGTTTCCCTCTTTATAGACGTGTTTTTGGTATTCCTGATAATACCAAATAGTCTGTTTCCCTCTTCTTTTCTGTTTTTTTGATCTTTTTATCTCTATATTCTGATTCGAATTAAATCAAAATTTAGAAATAAAGAAGTCCCCTAGCCTTAAATCCTGTTTTTTTGAGGGTTTTCTTTCTTTTTTTGTACAAAATATATAATACCCCTTTTTAGATGTTTTTAAATGAGTATAATACTTATATAAAGACTCTAATGCTTCTAGTGTATTTATTTGCTAATTAATAGAGTTTTGAACTCTATTAATAGCATTTAAAGAGGTTTTTAAAGAGGGTTTTCGTCTAGCTTAATAAGGTTGAAATTAATATTTTAGATAGGGTTTTTCAGTGATTTTTTAAGCGAAATCCTCTGAATCCACACAAAATAGAAGATTAATAAGATCTTCTATAAAGTTTTAATGCTGATTTATGTCTCGATTGCTGGTTTGAGTTATTTGAGAGCCGTTAATAGCTAAATAAAGCTTATAGCTATTTGTAACAGCTAAATTAAGGTACCAAAAAACTCCTGGAAGGAATTCCTTGAGATTTCGACGAAAATAAGTGGTAAAAGCAGCTCGGAGCTGATTTGCTTAATCTACTCCCCTTATATAATGATTATAATAATTAATAAATAAGGGGATAAGAAGAAATTTAGTCGATTAATCTCTAAAGGGTTTTCGAGTAATTATTAAATTTGACGCTAATTTCCGGGGTCTTTTTCGCTCGCGTTTAATTAATGTTTAATAACTTAAAAATTGGGCAAGAAATTAAATAAAGAAAAAAGAAAAAAAAGAAAACTTACTTATAACTGTATTTGAATCCTGCTATAGCCAACAAGCTATCCCATGGATAATAATAGCTTCTAGATGACCTTATTCTAATGCTCTATTTATAATTTTGAGTATTAAAAGGCGAGGGGGGTAGCCAGCAGCTAATTTTTGAACAGTTCTAATAACCGTAATTTCACGCTTTTTTAGTGCTTAAACAGATTTCTATAAAGTAAATAAATTATCTAAAAATAGATAAAAATTAAGCTTTTTTTGCTTCATAAATAGAGCCAAACATAAAACCAAACGAATAATAACTGATTGCGTAAGATTCAAAAGAGTAGTTTTTATAGAATTTGAAATAGAAACAGAAACATATTGTTTAGCAGCCAAAAGCGTAGGGCTATCTCTAGCTCTTGATTGACGCGTTCGGACTGCCCATCCGCGGATGGGTGGTATGCTGTGGTATAGATCAGCCGCGTGCCGGCCAATTCAAACACTCTCTTCCAAAGCGCAGCTGTAAATCGTGCGTCTCTATCAGTAGTAATGGTATTGGGTAAGCCATAGCCCCTCTTGCAGAAAACGTTATCCCAGAGGCATTTGGCCCATTTCTCAGCCGTTTGCGCCTTCTTCCCTGTTTCGAAAGCCACTCGTTTTGAAAATCGGTCAACGACGACTAGAATCTCATGTTATGTCCATCCTCTGAGGGTAGGTCGGTGATGAAATCCATTGTTAAGGAGTAGAAAGGCCGCGGAGGTGCTTGAAGCGGTTGGAGAGGCGGTACGAAGCCCACACGGCGCGGCTTGTTCATTCCGCATCCTGCGCAGTGGTGTACGTAGGACAGGATATCTCTGCTCATTTTTTCGGCCACCATACGCCTGCGAGCGCCTCGCGTAGCCGCGTATAGCCTCCGTGGACCTGGTCGTCATGCGCAGCTTGCAGCATTGCGTGTCGAAAGCTATGAGGGATAACAAAACGCGGTTCAGCTCCCTGCGCGTCGAGTCGTACGAGATCCGAACTATTCTCTTGATGGAACAGGGCGTAGGGTCGGTTTGGAAGCCTTTGAGGGTTTGGAGTAGGCAGTGGCATCTCCTGGAACTTCTCGCATAGGTCGCGAAATTCTTGCTTGACCTCCTGGCGCAGTCTCTCAAGTTCTCCTTCGTTGAGCCCTAACAGCACTACTCCGAGAAAGGCTTTCTCTTCGGGCTGCTGGAGCTCCTTCTGGCTGTGGAGCTTCATAGAAAGTCTTGATAATGCGTCTGGGACCACCATATCACGGCCTTCTTTGTAGATAACCGTCATATTGTCCCAGTACTGACTCAGGAACACTGCCCAGCCTTGTTGACGTGTATTCATCTTTAGAGAGGATGTCGTGCAGCGATTTTGCCGCTATGATGATTGGATTCGCTCTCGGTGGTCGGTATAGATGATGGTCCTTGTTTGTTCAATGTAGATTCGCAATTGCTTAACCGCCCAGACAAGGCCTGCCAGTTCTAAGTCTGTAGGCCAATAGTTACGTTCAGCCGGCGTCAAGCACTTAGATAGAAAGATGATAGGTCTCAAGAAGGTCCTCGACGGCTTGTGAGGATCCTGGGCCTCTTCGCCTTCTAGCTGATAGGCTGCAACACCAAAACCGAGCTCTTTGGATGCGTCAAGAAATACGTAAAGGATCTTGACAGGGTCGAAATGGCGGAGAATATCGTCGGCCTTCGTAAATGCAGCCTTGAGATCCTCGAATGCGGCGTTATGCTGGTTCGTCCATAGATTCCCTAGAGCTTTTGACCCACGGCTCTTTCGCTCCTGAGGCTTCTCTGATGGAGAACCTTTATCTTTTCGAGGCGCTCGAAAGATGCTAGTTTTGAGCTCTTGAAGTATCTCAGAGCGTTGCGCAAAGTAGGGCACTTGTTGACGATGCCATCCGACGAACCCAATAAAGCGTTCTAGGTCATGGCCATTTCTAGGTATATCCCAATTGGCGATGGCTTGGAGCTTCTCTTCAGCCGTGGAGTAGCCGAGTCGACTCACCAACTTGCCGAGCGTAACAAGCTTCTGGAATCCTAAATAGGTCTTGCTGGCCTTGAACGTGTAACCTGCGTCAGCTAAGCGTCGAAATACGACATCTAGATCGTAAAGATGCTGCTCAAAAGCCCCTTTCGTGAAGATATTGACGTCATCAACGTATACGTTGACGATTTTCCACAACAGACCAGTAAACAACCGCTCAAAGGTCCTCTGATTATGAGCAGGCGAGTTTTTGAAGCCCATGGGCGCCACGCAAAATTGCTCTAGACCTCGATGAGAAACTGTCGCCGTTCGATATTGGTCGTTAGGGTGTAGGAAGTGCTGATAGAAGCTAGATACGAAGTCGATTGAGGAGATGTACGAAGCTTGTGCCAGTGACGCTAGGATATCCTCTTGGAGGGGCAATGGATATGCATCAGATTCCGCTATGTCGTTAAGAGGTCGCAGATCCACCACTGGCCGCGCCTTTTTGACGTCGCCCTCTGGAGTGTACTTGTATACCACGAATACAGGTAGAGAGTAGGGGGAATGCTTAGCGAGTGCCATACGGCCTAGTCGAACATTCTGGCTGAATGTAACATCGATATCCTTCTTGGCACGCGGCGCGTTTCGGTATAGAGCTCGAGGCTTTAGCTTCTGTTCAAGCTCTGATGGGACCCTTATTCGTAGCCATTCGTCCTCTGGTTGGCGAGCCATGCCAGGGGCGTCATTGAAGATGACTGCGAAGCGCTTGGCTAGCTGTCGGAGTTGCTTCTGTTGCATTAGTGGCAAGTCTTCATTGACGTGGGCCTCTTGGTAAGTGGATGTAGAAACGTTAGGGACGACGATACCCTTCGGAATGTCGTAGCGATAGTGAGGTCGATACGGCTTCTCTAACCAGCGAGAGTCTTTCACCTTCTCCTTCTCCGCGGAGATAGTGTCCTTAGTCTTCTGCCCTTGGAAGCTATTCGTTATAACGCACGTACAGGATTTGGCTATACATGTACAGCCAATATCGAGGCGCAGCGATTCTCGTCCTAGAAACCCGTTCAGTATCTCCGTCGCTATCTCCGAGGTCGCGAAACTGCCGGCGCGGATTGAGGACGCTGTACCAAGTATCGTACCACGTTTAATTGTTTGAGGCGTAGATTCCTGATTTGAGTACATAACCGTACTCTGAGTAGCTGTAATGACTCCGTCAGGGATCTCAGGACGATTAGACGTAAAAAGGAGGTCAGCCTTGCCAGAATGGTTGAGGCGAAGCGCGATCTGGCCCATAGAGTGTGGTGGTATCGTGCTATCCTTGCTGACTCGAACAACGAAATTGCTTATAGGCTGTCGGGTCACCTGTAAGCGGACGAAGGCTATTGGCTTTCTGATCTTCTCAGAACGATGAAATATGGCTAATTGACGAGGGATGTCAATAACTATATTCCAAGCCTTAATGTAATCTGTACTGATTAGTAGATCGGTGCCTAAGTCGTCAAAGATTAGCGCAGCTATCTTAAGTTTCAATATGACTCCTTGACCGCCTCGGATGTAGAAAACAAATGTGGCTATCTCTGAGACAGCTTGACGTCCGCCAATGCCTCTAATAATCAGTTGCTTGACAGGTTTGACAGTATGAGGCAGCATAGCTAGGAGTTCTCGATTGACTGCGGAGTGACCGAATCCAGAGTCGATCACTGCTATGAAGGTGTTAGAGGATCCTGCGTCGGTATTTGGATACGCTGTAACTCGGGTCTCTGTGCTATTAGAGATACCCTCTAGCGGCTCGCCTTTCAGATTGGTTGATAGATCCAGCACTGTCTGAGCGCTCTCTATAGCGTGAGCATTGAAAGATTTGAGGTGGCCGTGGAGCTGATTGCCAGATGGAAAGAATTTATTGCATTCGTGACAAGTGACGCCGAAATTGGCTAAAATCTCGCCTTCTCCGCGGCTGTTGTCGCTCTTCCCGTCGTCTGACATGTCAGAGGCTTGTTTGCCTGCATACCCACGTCGTTGTCGTTGTGGAGCGCTAGTTGACTCCTCTTCGGATGAGTCATCCTCCTTGCCGGCGAAACCCTTCTCCTTCTTCTCATCTCGGAGAGGGCAGTTGGTTTGGCGATGGTTAGGGTTGCGGCCCTTGGCTTCGCATCGTCGACAAGGAGTAAAGTAGTCGCTGGTGCGGTTAGCGCTGCTGTCTATTTGACGCTTAGGAACCTCCTCGGCCTTAGGCTTCTGTATTAGCTTTTCGGAGTCGCGATTCGCCTTGTAATTCGAAGAATACCCAGACGACCACTTGGTACGGCTCTCTCTTGGCTTTGCTATCTTCTCATCGTACATACGTTTGTGAATAGGTTGCAACGCTCGTAGACGCTTTCGAAAGTTGGCCAAAGACTCTTCGCTATACGGAGCGAGCGCAGCTTGCAATTCAGGCACGTCGTCAAAACCTTCGTATACTCGTTGAACGATATCCTCTTCAGAATTCATACCTGCAATTCGAAGTTTGCCAACCTTTTCATCCACGTATTCCGTGGGCAAACGGCCTTGGTTCCAGTTAAATGACTCCTTAGATGCAGCAGATCGCAGTTCTGATAGGGTACCCATGAAGTCTCGTTTGATAATTCGGATCCATCCATTTACTGAATCTGATAATGCATCCTTATCTTCTAAAGAGAGGGCAGAGTACCATGCATGCGCTATTTCGTTATCCAAACAACGAGGAAGTAGCAACGCAAGCTTTTCTGATTGATTCTTGTAGATACGTCTAGCGTCTTCAATACGCTCAACGAAAATTCGAGCGGATTTCTCATCTTGACGACTAGTAGGCTTGAATAGATAGAGCTCTGAGGGTTTAAGAGTCATATTTGAAGAATCTGAAGCAGGGACCCTTTTGACGCTGCTTTTGGCACTCTCTGCACCCACGCTAGACAGGGAAGCGAACCTACTTGTGTCCTTCTGGGTGCCCTTCTCCTTCGTTGTAGGTGCCTCCTCTTCGTGTTCCTCTGGTGTATCTTCCTCTGACTCTATCTCTTCTTTATCCTCCTCTGCCTGCTCAGCAGCCTTCGTTTGACCTCGAGTTTGTCGAGTAGTTCTGATAGGTTGCGTCATTGTACGCAAGCGCTCTGTAGGACTTATATTTGCGCTACCTGACGGCAGCTAGTAGGGACGAACCGGACTAGCCCGTTTCAAGGATTTCCGCGACTTCTGGACGCCAAGCGAGTCTTATCTTGCGTACAGGGTTGTCAGGTTGCAGGAGGAGAGGAAGAAAGCTGTCGATAAGCTTAGAAGGAGGATAGACAGAAAGGG